CCGCGGAGTAAAACGTCTCTGCTCATATCGATGACCTCCGCTCGGCAGCCGTCCTCCTGGCCTGGGCTGGGACGGCGGTAGGGCACTAGATCACCCGCGGTAGATACCCTCCCCAAGGGCGGGTCGCGCAGCTCGCCGTGGCTGGGAGCAGGGGAGAGGAAAGGAAGGGGGGCTTTCATTGAAATGGGAGAAAGGCTTTTTCTCTCTCTGCCTTTTTTCTTCGAGACGGTTCCGCCGCATCGGTCGCAACAGCGACGACGCCCCGGAGATCCGTTCAGCAGCCCGTCGTTGATCGCGCAGCAGGTCGCCAGAGCAGCAGGAGTGCTAGAGGTTTGCTAGCGGTGGACCCGGCAGCAAGGGCCAGGCAAAGTAGGCGCCCACAAAATGAGCTGACAAAAATGTAAAACCATCGCGGCGCCGCGCACTCACACCTTCCCTCCCGGGGAGTGAGACGCCGCGCTCCGCTGCCCGTCCTGGCCCCCGAGAGGCTCACCTCCCGGCGACGCGACGACACGGGGCGATTAGATCCGCCGCCCCGATGCCTCGGCCGGCGCCGCCGCCCGCGCGACCCGCGCCGCTCCAAGATCAAGTTCACTTTCGTCGAAAGTAAATGACGGCTATCTCGGCGCCGGCGCGCGGCGGGCGCGAGGAGAGCGCTGCTGCCCTGTTTTACACCGACCGACAAAACGCTCCGGCGGCCGGCGGCTCAATTATTGTCAAAGTGAAATAAACCCAATCTGGCGAGGGAGAGGCCAAATAGACTGCTGGGCAGCGGGGAACGCAAAGTGCTTCGCGGTGGCGGAGGCAATGACGGGCGCAACGCTCAGGCCGACCGCACGCCCGCTGCTGCTGCTGCTCCTGCTGCTCCTGCTGCAGGTCCTCCTGTTGTTCCTGCTGCTATTATTGTGCTATTCCTACTGTTCCTCCTCTTATTGCCATTTCTAGTGATATTCCTGCTGCTGCCCTTGCTGCTGCCCCCCCCCCCCTGCTGTTGCTCCGCCTGCTGCTACTGATGTTCCTCCTGCTGCGGCTGCTGCTGCCCAAGTTCCCAATCCTCCAGGCCGCCGACACCGCAGTGCCACCACAGCCGGTGCGTGAGCAGCCGGGGCCGGAGCCGCGCCGGCCGGTCCGTATCGTGACGCGTCACGCCTGCGTGTCACGTCCTCCGTCAGGCCCGCCGCCGCCGGGCGATCGAAGCCTTTTAACGAGACTTAAAATGAAGCAACTAACTATAAAAAGCCTCGTGGCCAGGCCAGGTCCGCGCCACGCCGCGCCGCGCGGAGCAACCGGCGGCGGCCGCACGACACGAGGGGCTTGTTTCGTACGTAATTCTCGACATTCTGCGTCGGACGTCGGCCTTTGGCTTCTCTCCCCCCTCTTCCTCGCCTCTCTCCATCCCGCGTCGTCCGCGCGCGTCCAAGCGGCAGGCCACGCCTCGCGAGTCCGCGGGCAGGTCTAGCGGCGCGGGGCGGGGCGGGGCGGGGCCTCGGCTGCGGTGTAGCCTGTTGCCCCGACCTTGCACTGCACCACTGCGCTCCGCGGGCCACGCGGCTGCTGCTCACCGCTCCCCACCTGCACACGGCGCTCCACATCACCGTACGGCGCCTCGCCCGGCTTACCAAATGGATCGCCCCGCCCCCACCCCGCCCCG